GATATATTTGTTTTACTAAAATTTCTTGGTCCAGTTTTGGCATCTGAAACAATAGAAAGATTCTAGTAGCTTTATTTGAAAACTACCAGTCAGAATGTAAGAAAAATAAACTTGCTTTCTATTCCAATCATTTAAATCTTCAGTAAAATGGACTGGCACTTCTGAAAAACCTATTACAATGAAAACCCTTTAGCACTAACCTAAATTTTCTTACCACTAAAACAGTTCAGAACACGTTTGTTCTGAGGCCCCATTTCAGTGCCAGGAAAACGAAGTGACCAGGAGAAAGAACTGAGGTGAAGAGGAGGACCACATACATTCTCGAAGTTATTTTAAAGACAAGAAGCACATTCATTTGCTGTTATGCTTCCTTCCACACCTGTCGACATACATACCCACACACTCCCCTGAGATCATGATGTACATTCCTGCCCACGATGCCAGTCAGCCTTGATTCCCAGTCACACTCCTATCCCAGGGCCTAAACTTCAATAAATCTGTCTTCCAAGGACAAGAGGAGATTACATGGGACAAAAAAACAAGACAATATTTACTCAGCATCTACTTTGTACAAGGACTTCATGTCCACTGTTGCAACTTGGGGGCTCTCTGCTAAGCTGACTCCATATGACGTACCCTCCCTCCTCCAAAGGCAAAATCCATGTCTGCACACATCTTGTGTGTGAAAGGACCCAGAAAGAACAAGGCTGGGCAGTCTAATTGCCTTCTAGCACCAACCAAGCTACCTCAGCTCTTTCCAAAGATGACATGGCTTTGCCCATGGTGGCCTGCCCCCCAGCCACAAGAAACATCTCAAGAGTCGTGGTGTCATATGGTGTCAGCAGCTCTGACGTGGAAAGAGCGAGGGAGCAAGTTCTGCTTGGACACACCTGTGGATTCCCATTGCACTGCCTCTGCTCCAGGATGCCCCCTCATCCCTGCTGAGAGCTGTCTGTCACAGCTGGTCTGTTAGCTGCTATTACTAAAACTATATAGTCAGTTCTTTGTAGCCATCAGAGGTTAACTAATGACCTATTTTAGTCTCTATCAAAACAAACCAAAAGAAGTCAATTCTTTATGATACACTAAAGGCTTCAGGATGGTTCAGAGACCCAGAACAGTGTCAGTTCCACAACACGACAAACTTCATGTCAATCTAGTTCCTCAAGGTCAGCTCTCACCATCTCTAGGAAAGTCTTCGGAGAACAGATTCATGGTCATGAGCTGGTGTCAGGCTGTATTTTCCATCTCTACCCCAAACTAATTTTCATCTGGCTTCTGTCAAGGCCTGCCCAAACTGTTTATTTATTTCAAAAGCAGCAAACTGCATAAAATAAAAGAAATAGTTCCAAGTATGGATGGTAATACAGAATAAACCCACATAGGATATGCTGAGTAGGAAATCTCAGGCCAGTGTCCTGAAACCATCAGGCTGCATTACTGTAAACATACATCAAGTATTTCCAGAGCCAGAACATGGATTCACTGTAACTGAAAATAATTAATTTCTTCCATGGAGGTGGAGAATAAGAATCCTGCATGTAATTCATGAAATAATTTAGTGTTGTTCCACTTACAACTATCTATTCCATAAAGAATCATGTGTTGGGGTATTCCAGGATCCTAGGAGCGTATTTTTATTTATGTAAAAGTAAAGCTACATTTTTCTCATGTTAGCTCTGGCCATCTGCTAGCTAAACTTCTTTGATGTCATATATAGATGTTTCAAAAAGATCTTCATCTCAACCATAAATCAGTCGGATACTCAGGATGGGGAAGGACTAGGATTAAAAGAGAATGGGAAGGAATGGTGTGTCTTGAATTACATGCGGAGAGGACAACTGTGAAGGCAGGCAGCCTTCCAACAGGTGGTCCTTTCTAGGAAACCAAGACTTTATAATGACATGAAAGAAAATTTGAGAATTTTAAAAATCTGTAAGATTGGCATTCCCCAAACTACAAATTATAGAGATTTCAATTTAGAAATTGTAACATTCTACTTTTTTCTTTTAAAATGTTTTTCTGGTATGGGCTAATTTTGCTTTGGTTTTTTTTCAGTGATATGTTTTAGATCAGCAATTCTATTATATTATAAAGATTTTATCAGTAATGCTCAAACATTTCTTAAAGTGAAAACACTATTCAACCATCCCTGAAGTAGTTGGCACCCTGAGTTCTCTGTAACTGGGCACCCTGATGGCCTGATGGCTAACAACCACTTAAGCAGAGGAAAGAGAAGACCTACACTACAGCCGTGGCTGAGGGCCAAGGCCACCTACTCAGGCCCAGACACCTCAGTCCTGAAGGTCAAACCTGGACTGCAGGGCAGAACCAGGTGGGCTTCTTCTTTCCCTGTGAACTCCTGGCTGCTCAGCACAGATAATGTCCTCGGCTCAGCCATACTGAAACAAGTGATGAAGAGCATCCCTTGGCATAAAGGAGTGGGAACCCCTGGGCACAGACAGAAAGTCCCTAATCAGTGTCACATGCTGTGATTCTGAAACGCAACATGAGATGCTGAAATGATGTCACTTTCCCAGCCCTGTTCTAGATCACCCTCCCTTTTCTCTCATCTAGGACAAGCACAGCATTCACTGCATGGTCATTCATTGCTCACACATCCACCAACATTCTCTTACTAGTTTTTCTTGATTACATTATGGTCATTAATCTGTCTGTAATCCTATTTTTGGCAGCCAATTTATAATCACTAGTAAAATGTTTTAATGTTATCACACATAAAAATATGCAAAAAAGTTTTATGTAAAATAAATTATCAAGAAATGTTTTTGGCTAAATTCCCTCTTTATGTATGTATGACTAAAGTCTTGTGAACACAGAAATTCAAAATGCTTCTCCCAGACGACATTGCACTATCCCAATGAGCAGATCACAGATATTTATCATATAAGTCAGCTTACTGACTGGGCTTTGGAACATTCACGAGGCCAATCTCTGATATTGATTAAATTATATCTGAAGTACAACCCTCTCACTAAAATTAAGTATCCAACATTTTATACAGAGAATTAGTCAAGTTTTCTCAGAACTACCAAATGCATAAACAGCAGGAATTTAAACTCTTCATTAAGACTATAACTAAATCCCTTCATTAGTCAATAGATCCCATTTTTGTTCTGTATTGCTCATTTGTTTCCCTAACTCAATTAGCCTGCTTACCTTTAAAGGATTATACCCAACACTTTCCCTACTTAACAAAAATAGAAGTACACCAAGACAAAAACCTCCAAGAGAAGACATTTAGCACTTCTTTCTCATTCTAATGGAGTTCATGCCATGAAAGATGAAATTGCCTAAGCAAAATACAAAATAAAATGATACAGTATCTTTGCTATAAATAAAGCAACTCTAAATCTGATATAAAACAGCATGTCAATTCATGCAAACCATTTGAAATTCTTTCAGAAGTAACCACTTTGATACCTGTGGTTCTCTAAAACTTCAGGCACTTAAATCTATACTAATAAAAGAGTAATATGAAAATTGGTCACAACACCCTCACAGTAACAACCAAACAGCAGGCTGCTTAGGCAACCAGGCTGGCAGGGGGGTTAGTGAGAGATGACCAAATGAATGACCAGCAGGCTGCGTGGCACCACCAGGCTAGGAGGGGTTTAGTGAGAGGCAACCAGGCCAGCAGAGGGGGGCAGTGAGGGCTGACCAGGCCAGCAGGGGTGGGGGGTAGTTGGGAGCTACCAGGTCAGGGAGGGGGGGGGCAGCAGTGAGGGGTGAGCAGGACAGTGGGGTGAAGTAGGGGGAGAGTTAGGGGTGATCAGGCTAGCATGGGGAAGGGGCAATTAAGGGCAATCAGACAGGCAGGTGAGCAATTAGGAGCCAGCGGTCCTGGATTATGAGAGGATGTAGGCTGGGCTGAGGGGACACCCCTTCTCCCCCCACCCACTCCAACCCCGCCCAATGCATGAATTTCATGCACCAGGTCTCTAGTATTTTTATAAGGAGATAAGAACAATCTGTCTTGTTGTAGCTCTGGACTCTTATCGGGAAATAAAATGACTCAATCTACAAGATAAGCCTATGGCCCTTAAGCACTTTGCATATTAATAATGTTTCTCCAATATTAACTAGCTTACTTGACATTCCAGTTGAGCAAGCTGCTCACGTCTTAGGGGAGGACACAGCAGGAGATAGCTAATCCGATTCTCAGTGCATTCATAAATCTCACAGAAATATTTAACAGATGACGCCCTACAGGTCAGTAGTAAATCTGATACAAGAGACATTAATGGATTAGCTCTTTCTCCAACATCACATACACAGCAGTGACTTAAAGACGACTCCACCCAACCTTCTCTGTATCATCTTCCCCAAATACTGTGCCAACTAAGGCTGCTCAGTCCAAGCTCTCATAACATTGAAACTGTTGGGGGAAGCACTCCCAAGGACAGTGTCGTAAAACATGTATTACAAAATGTTTTCTCCTGATAGAATGATACCACAGAATGGTCCTGACTTATAACCTCTAAACCTCATTGGAAGAGACAACACAGCTCATAGCACGAACCCGACTTGAATGCGCAACACCTCTGAGAGTCAATGTTGGGTCCTGATCAGAGAGGCATGGATAGACCTATTGTCCAAGACAGTGAGCCATGCTAATTATACCACTAGCTATAAAAATTACAACTTTCCATCACTAGAAAGCCTCCAAAACTTGATTAAATAAATGAAACTGACTGAAAATGATTTGTAAATCTGTATTAATGTGGAAAGATTTCTACTATGCAAAGAAAAAAAAGCAAGTTATAAAATCATAAATTAGTGTGTATATTAATACAGAAAATACCCAGGAAATGTATAGATCTCTCTGGATGTGGAATTTACCAGGTTATTTACACTTTCTTCATCATTTTTCTATTTTGTCACTTTTCAAAAACAATAGACATATATTAATTTTCTAAAAGGGGGTGGGAGTACCTAATGCTATTCAGGCAAAGGAAAGGAAGGCTTTGTGAGCGCACCTTCTGAGTTCAGGGTGATGAGGGTGACGTTGTTTCCGATGTTCTGACTTCCTGACTGTCCACAGGTGGAAACGGAGTCACTGGCCTCGGACCCGCTCTCCCCATCCTCATTGTGGCTGTCTTCTTGCCCGGGTACCTTCACCACAATGGTGTTCTGCCGACGCCCGGGAACCGCGCTGAGCAGGAAACAAAAACACCACCAGTGTTGTAAGAGCAGCACCACCGACAGGCAGAGACTAGCAATGAGTTGCTGCATGTTCCTCTTTCCTCCCCTTGTCCAAGGCTAACTTCACACGGAGCAGTGGGCACAAGTCTTCCCATGCACCTCCTCTATTAAGATTAATAACAACTTGATACCAGTAAATAGTTAGAGGTTGGAAGAAACTATATAACATTTTAAGAATTTAAAGAAGTGTTTATATCATGAAATAAAATCACAGCTTTCAGTGACTCAAGGCCTAAATGCTGTTTTTGGATCACAGAGGTATCCCTACAAAATGTTGACATTCATATAAAGTAACTTTTTAGCCATGTCAAAGGAAAAACTACTAGTACATTAGGAGGCAGTTTGGCTAGAGACTTCCACTGATCTAATCTACTCCATACTGTTAGACATTCTAGAAATGACTCAGCCTTTGAAAATGCAGTTATCACTCCCAATGATTTCCACCGACAAAAACCACTTAAGTAGGTTTAAAAAGCCAGTCAAGTATCTCTGATGAAATACTCTCACCACCATCAGGGGTCCTATACGAAGCAATGAGATATTGTCAGAAAAACAGGACACAGCCCAGCTCGAAAAGTACTCAAAAAGTAAAAAATAAAGATATTATCTGGAGACATGTTACTTGCCTTTTTAAAGACCCTTTCAATGGCCCTTCAACGTGGACTGCTAAGCACTGAGAAGGGGAGAGAAGCACAATTTCCCTGTTTACACATTAAAACATGTTTCGAATCCTAGCCCTACCCAGAGAAGGGAGCTATATACTTTGATTCCACAGAGGCTTGTCCAGGCTGACTTGGCTTCACCCAAGCCATTGAAAGGCACACCTGCCCCTGTCTCTTCTCCACCGGCCAGACCTCCTCCACCTCTGAGCACCTAGACAGCCATACTTCACCTTGTCTCCCTGCACCCCAGCACGCAGGCCCTCAGACACCCAGGCTATGACAACAAAGAAGATAGGACACAGCTGGAGGAGGAACAATCGGCAGAGGAGACTGAGAGAACAGGCAAAACAGAACATTGTGAAGACACAGGTAGGAAACAAAAAGCAAAGGAACCCTCTTAGAGGAACACTATCAGGAAAAACTGAGCCCCGACCACTAGACAAAGCCACCGAAACTCACTTCATCATCACACAAGGGTGGCGAGAATGCCTTTTATACACTCCCATCTCTGAAAAAGGTTATGTTTAAAATATATCAAAAGAAAAGGGTTGAAAAAAAAGCCATCACCTCAAAATATCTCCACCACTTAGCAAATTTACATGAGGATGTCTGTTGACTTGACATGCTACTGGGCAGACATACTGATGTGAGTAAGCCATGAGCAGGTAAGAGGATAAGGGCTTGACTGACTATTGTGAAAACACAGCATCATGTCTCAATACCACACACTACACTGAACACAACAGTCCCAAACGCCCAAATGCTGTCTGTCCTTTAACCTCCTGCTCTTATCCAGCTAATCTGATGGGACCTTGGTCCAAAGCATGGCACAGCCCCCCACACCACAAAGAAGTGTGGACAGTGCCTTTTGGGCTCAGCCCATGTGAGGACAGAAAAGCCCAGTCAGAATGTTGATTTGTCCTCAAGGGGACTCATCACAGTGGCAGTGGCAGTGGCAGTGGCAGTGAAAGGTGGGGATGATGTTGTGGCTACTGACTTGCTAATGATATTTTCCAGGGAATCCGGTGCCCTGTTGCTCAAGGGGTCGTCCATCTTGGCTACAATGGCGTTCTGCCGATCACTGTTGAGTATTACTGTAGTCTGGGGGACGACGCTAGGGAACAAAAGAATCACAAAGAAAAAGAAGACCTTAAAACAACAACATTCATTGTAAGAGTGCATAAGAGTAATTCAATACAGTCAGCTCCCAATGATGGGCACTAAGGAAGGGAGGTGGCCCCAAGCAGAAACCACATTTAAAGTAATAAACAATTTACACTGGGCAAAGAATAAATTGGAGATGGGAATTTTTAATATAGAGAATGTAACCTTCCTCATAGTTGGTATTCTCTGTTTATACATGGGGTAATACAAGATAGGGATATTTAAACCCTTTACAGAATAGATTGAGGTGTCACAAATTATGCACAATTAACAAGGTTTCTAAAGTATAATGTTTCCTGAAAAAACATGCTTAATATTTTTACTCATTCTATCCCAATGGATTCCTACATGACAAATCCTAGGTTTTATAACTGCTATCAATACCATCCCAAAATGTTAGTGCTGCTCTGGAAAGAAAGGACAAACACAACAGAGGGACTGCGGGTGGGTCACATGGCATTGACTGCCTCTAGGTTCCACTGGGAGAATGCAGGAACCAGGTCCAAAAAACCTTAGGGTTTTGTTTTCAAGGAAAATTATCACGGGAAAGAACTGAGCCCTCACTGGGCACCTTCGTAGAGACAGCTCTGTGTGTTCACCAGTAGTCAAGAGCCTATCTCAAAGGGCACACTCATTGAGACTTCAGTCATTAATCTTCTAGCCCTCAGCAGTTATGGGCCCAGGAAATTTTAGAATCTTCTCCCATTGCAGGGGTCAGAGTGCCACAAAGAGCACTTAAAACACAAGGCAGTGTTACCTGAAAAGCATGTCATTCTTAGACCTCATTTTCCAAAACACAACTCTGGAAGCAGTGCCTTTACTTAAGATCCATGTAGCCAACAGCACATGTGAAAACCTAGTCTACTGTCATGGCTACAGGGCTGTCCAGTCCCCTCTCAAAATCTGGGCACAAAAGATTCTGCTTCAAAAATAAGAACATGATCCATGGCATGTCACTCAAAGGTGTTGTTTTTACAATTATTCTTCTTGCTCTTTGGTGACACCTAGTCACCACCAAACCCTGAGAATGTTGCAAGTAACCTGGGTGACCTTTGACTTGGCCATGTTGAGGCTGAAAATTTCACGCTTCTCTTATACCAAACAGACAAAAAAAGTTTGCATATATTTGACTAGAGGCCCAGTGCACAAATTCATGCACCAGTGGGGACCCTTGGCCTGGCCTTCAGGATCAAGCCAAAACCGACTCTCTGACATCCCTTGAGGGGTCCTGGACTGTAAGAAGGCGTAGGCCAGGCCAAGGGGCCCCACAGGTGCACAATCGGGGCTGGGGAGGGATATGGGAGGACTGCAGGGCATATCCAGTCATCCATGCAGGACCCCAGCAGCAAGCTAACCTACCGGTCTGAACATCTTCCCCCTGGTGGTCAGTGCATGTCATAGCGACTGGTTGACTATCTTCCCTCTGGTGGTCAGTGCCACATCATAGTGACTGGTCAGCCATCTGTCCCCTGGTGGTCAGTACACATCATAGCAAGCAGTTGAGAGGCTTTAGCATATCATTAGCATATTACTCTTTGAATGAATGGCCAACCAGACGACTGGACACTTAGTATATTAGGCTTTTATTATATAGGATATTTCCCAAAGAGTATTACACATAACACTAACATACTCCAGGAACCTCTACACACACTCATTCCTGTTCTCTCTCATTCCATGAGCAACTAAATAAATTCTACTAAGTAGATGAGTTACCTGATGGTGAGACGTCCACAGGGAATACAACAATTAAAATTCATTTATGCCCATCATCAACAGAGTGGTTTTGACTAAATATACCTTTTCCTCTTAAAGACTCTTAACATCAAAGAAACAATGTTCTGAGGCAACCAGCTTCAAGTTGGAATAAACATAAACCTGAAAGCATTCAAATACTTTCAGGAGGTTCCTTGGGTGTGGGCCAGTTCCCAGCATCTCAATTGCAAGATCCTTGCCTTCCAGAAAGTACTATTTCCTAAAAATTATTCTCCTTGAGAAAGCACTTCTGGTCAATTAGTTTGTTTCATTTTTTTTATTTAAAAAAAAAATTACTTTTTATTATAATTATATTCACTCTAATTATACTTGGGTGCACTGTCCATCCAGGAAATGAACACCTGAGTTACAAACGCGGGGCCAGTCTGAAACATGGCAACGCCTTCAATGAACAACTGGAAAACCCTGCGGTGAGCTGTTATTCCATAACTCTTTGCTTTCAACAAAACTAACAAGACCTAGTTAAAATATCCAGCTCACAAATCATCAAAAATAATTTCTGTTGATACACCTCAACAATTTTTGGCATGTAACTTAAAGAGCTGAGGAACTCTTTCCTCTCCCACAGATTTATTTAGGGGAACAACATTTCTCAGAACTTAAAACTATAAAAACTAAAAAGAGAAATAAAAGTAATGCTGAATGAACCTGTCTTGTTTTAAGTAGTAAGTCATGAATTCAGGAATTAATTAAAACTAAATCCACAGCTTCACAAGGATACATTCACAATATTGGGTTATTAAGAATTCATTATAAGCAAAAGTAATGTATTTATGTTGTTTTGTTCACATATGTACTAATAATTGTAATAAATGTCTTTAACCTTGGGGCCTTACAGTTATAGGAAATAAATATTTAGCTTCAATTTCTGTCCATATTTCTGTTACTGAGGAGTATGACAGCCTGTCAGATAGGACAACACTTTGTGATGGAAAAGAAATGGGAATGAACGTTCAAAAAGCAAAGAAACAAGGTAAAATTTAGCTGTCAAAAGCCTATTCATAGGATTTTTTTTTAAATGGATGATGCTTTTAGATTAAAGTAATTAAAGAGCAGTGAATCAGTTTTGTTTTTAAATATCAATATTACAATATGCCATAAATTACAAATTCTTAATTAATGTAACTTATGTCAACCTCAAATTGTACCAAAGAATATTTCACTTTTCAAAAATTATGAAACATCCATATCACAATAAGAAGAATGAAACAGTTATCTAAGGGTAGATACTGAAAAACTGTCACAATATTAAGATTCTTGACTAGGCTGAACTACAGTCCCAGTCAATCACTCAGACACTAATCTGGGTGCTGCTGGGAAGGGCTTTTGCAGATGTGATTAAAGTCCTAATTGGTTGAAGTTATCCAAAAGAAAGATACAGTAAAACCTTGATATAATGGACTGATTTGGATAAGGGAATATCCCTTAAAGCCAAAATCCATTTAATAAAGTAGGATTTTCTAATACATGTTAAAAGAAACTGACAAATTAGTTAGCTTACCTGTTTTTACTTATGTAGACATGTTTATGTAATTAAAATTAAGTATGTATGAAAAGCTTAATTTCATAGAAAAGTTTTCTATATATATTACAGTAACTTTAAATTTATATTGAATAGGCCTAGTAAATACATGCATTCACCAGTCACTATGAACAAACAAATGCACACGGCGGGGGTGTGACTCAGCGCAGGTGAGAACATCAGCCAACACATGTTAAACTGCTGCAGAAAGACATGCCAAGTTACAACAGAACCAACTACCGCCCAAAATGTGTGATCCCATGCTAATCATTTATGGAACATTAAGAGCAGTCTCTAGGACTCAAATGTGTAGGCTATATTTGTAGTTACATAATATTTATGTTGGTGAAATTACTATTGTACAATGTTTTTTCCAACATATGGCCCATTTGCTAAAATTTGTTTAAAATAACAAAACTCTGGGGAGGGAAGGCAGGTATGGGAGGGGAGTCAATGGTATATGTACACAGATAATAATTTAATTAAAAAAATTTAAAATAAATAAATAAATAAATAAATAACAGTGAATAACAAAAAAATAACCTATTAATTTAATTATAAGCAAATCTTTTAGCAAAAATAATATAAAAATATATGTTGATTATTTCCTCTTATTATTATATCAATTATAAGCTTATGACATACAAACTGGGAGTTTTTTCTGTTAGATCCAAAGCCCATTAAATTGAGGCCTGAAAAACTGAGGGTTTACTGTAATGTTGGATGGGCCTGGCCTGATCAGATGAAACTCTGAACGAAGGTTTAGGCTTTCCCTGGTCTTAGAGACTCCAAACAGTCCTGCCAGCTGACCATGATCTGCCCTTCCTGTCCGCCTGTCCTATAGCCTTCAGTTGCCCCCACAATGTATAAGCCAATCCCTTGTGAAAAATTCCTCATGGGAGGGCTGCCTCTCTCTCTCTCTCTCTCTCTCTCTCTGTCTCTCTCTCTCTCTCTCTCACACACACACACACACACACACACACATATACACACACACACATTTCCTACTGTTTATGCTTCTCTGGTTGAACCCTGACACGTTTTGAAATAATTATAGACCCACAGGAAGTTACAAAGGAAATATACAAAGTCTTGTGTCCCCAATGGTGACATCCTATTATATATAACCTGTAGTAGAATATCAAAACTAGGAAAGTGAATTTAACAATATTGCTAGGAAGACTACAGGCCTCGTTCAGATTTCACCAGTTTCTGCAGGCAATAACATGTCACATGTAGTTCTGTGCAGATCTGCATATTGCTCCATCGCCACCAAGGAGTGGCCTAGTGATGCCCCTTTAGACACACCCACCCTCCCATCCCACCCTATCCCCTGGCAACCACTAGCCTGTTTTAATGTATAGTTCCAACATTTCAGGAAAGTGATAGACATAGAATCATACAGCATATGACTTAGCAATTGGCTTTTTGCACTCAGCACAGTGCCCCCAAGGTCATCCAGTGGCAGCAAATATCAACAGTTCATTCAATGTTGGTGCTGCACAGATTTCCATGGAATGGGTGTTTGTTACAGGTGGACCAGTTTGTTTACCCTTTCATCCGCAGAAGGGTATCGGAGGTGACTGCAGGTTTTGGTTATTACAAATAAAGCTGCCATGAACATTCATGCAGAGGTTTTAGTGTGGTCATAA